TGTGTGTGTGTGTGTGTGTGTGTACACAGGGCTCATCCATCACCTGTCAGAGGCTCCCAAGAGCAGGTGGGGGGAGGTATCTCCTACCTAGAGAGACGGCTACAGGGAGAGGGAGAAACAGATTGTAAGTGAGATGGAGGAAAGGAATGGGAAGACAGAAAGGGAAATACATAGAGAAACACACAGAAAGACAGAAAAACAGGCAGCTACAGATGGAGCTTAAGAAGGAAACAGGGACAGGATCCTACATTCAGCAAATGTTGACTTGCCTCTCAAGGTCTCGCTGATGCCCTCTACCATAACAGAGAGGGGTGGGGAGGCAAATTCCAATGGTTTCCCCCTCTCCTCTCTATGCAAAAGGCCTCAGACTTAGAGCCAGGAGACCTGGGACACTGCCTTCCCTGGGCCTCAGTTTATTTATCTGTAAAGTAGGGATATGATGCTCACATGACCTTTGAGGAGAAGAACTTTGCAAACTTTAAACCAGGGAAATGGGGAATGTTATTATTATTGCTTCCTTCTTCTCATCTTTTTCTATGGGTTTCAGATGGAAGAGGTCCTGGGACCAGTTACTATCCTGAAAGTATCATTTTATATTTAATGTTCTACGGCTTATTGCACTAATGCATAAAATATTTGTTGGCTTTTTTTAAATGGTTGAATACAAGTGTAGAGTGTCCTCTGGACTCCTTCAGCATTTTACAGGTTGCAGGTTGGGCCCTAGGGTTGACCAGTACCCTAGGCTCAAGGTACTCTGTAGTGCATTCCTAAAACCATAGCCCATAAGCCCCCATAGGTGGCTTACCTTTAATAGTGAGCCAGCAGGCATAATTAGCTCAAAGCAAAAATCATTTACAAAGATAGCATAAAAAGCAATAGCTACAAAACATTCATTCCCCCATAATCCTCAGGCATACTCTCTCACCAAACACACAAAGCAACAGTAGATAGATTAGATGCATACATAAAGCATAATAGTGGTGAAGCAGACATGTATTGAATACATATGGCCAAGGCAGCTCATGTCTCTCTGGCACTTCCAGGGCCCTGACATTCTCCCTCTTCTGATGGTGTCTTCATGATGCCTCCCCCGGGAAAGGTATCTCTACTGAACAAGTCACTCATTTGGGCTCTGTGGGTCCACTCATCTCTGTAACTCTATTTCTTTATGCCTGGGCTAATTCTTACTTGAAACTATAGCTCTTTTCTCTGCTGCCAGGGGTTACTTCTCAGAGTTGACTCACCCTCAAGAGAAATCTCGTTTTGTTTTTTTAAAGGCCACCAAGGGTGTATCCTATCCTAGGCCATCAGAAAGAACTCTTTCACACTTCATAAGGGGGTATCAAAATGAAATCTCTTCTCTGTTACTTTCCCCTTCTATGATTTCATCAACTGGGCTGACATAGGGGTGGGAATCAACTGATCAGTGATAGCCTGATCAATTTCCCCCACCATTACAAAAGAATTAGGCTATAAACCCATTTTCTGTAGGCTCATTGAAGGCACCCTCAGCACAATTTCATCAGCAGATTGAACAACACAGATAATATGTATCTCATCCTGTTTCTACAAGATTTTTATCTCTTCTGTATTTTGAAAGCTTTGAGAACATGAGTATTTAATATGGCAACATTTACTTAAAACATTGTTCTTAAGTTTTTGTGTGTGTCAATGTTTTATCTAGGGGATTGTGCGTAATAGTTGAGTCTATGATAATGGTTCAGTTTATTGGGTGAATTCTCCCAAGGATATTGTAAGGTCTGTATTTGCAGCATGATTTGTTTCCTGATGGTGGATGAATTATAGTATGTTTCAGTTGCATATTTCTAGCTCCCAGGTCATGTCTTGCTATGGATTTGATAGATGCTCAATTTTTGCAGCCTTCAGTGAGGCACAACACCTTCTCTACTGTTTCTTTTCATAATCTACACTGATCAGTAAGTCTGGAGTCCTTATCCCTAAATGACTTGGTCACAAATCGCTATCGTAAACTCATTTTTTTTCCACCAACAAATCCATGTCTTGGTCACTTGTCTAATGTTTCTTTGTCTACATACTGTTGGCTGAGTTCATGGGGATGTCTCCCATGGTGGGCTTTTTGATTCCATTCTTGGCTCATAGCTATTTCACATGCTCCATTCAGAAGTAAACCATCTTGTCTACATTGGACAAATCCAATGGCGTGGATGTCTTAGGAGCTTTAATGTAGTGACATCTGCTTGTTTAAATGAACTTCACTAGATTTTTGACTCATTACTTGCTCTAAGGATATCTATCCATCTTTTCCCTATTTTTTGGTAGGGAAGAATTCATCATTCTCCAGCTACTTTAAGGTGGTTGGCCCTGCCTTTCATTAATATTGTATGATTTTTAGGAGGATACTTCCCAAATCTGTTTACAATTCTGAAAACACATATAAGACAGGTAGGTCTTAATTGCTTTAAATACATTCTTCCCATTCAGCTTTGATTCCAGAATATGCGTAATACATTCGGCTTTAATTTTCTCCAGCATACCCTTATGTTCAATGTGTTTTGCTTTGGAGGAGAGTAAGCTATCTGTAGGTATTGCTTTCCTTCAATAGTTTGATATGATTTCTGGATTCAAATTCAAACCCTCCAATCTCTATCTTTCTTTGGTCTTTGTTACAGGTTTTATACTTGTCAATTCCAGATGCCATTTTTGTATCATTGGAGAGAGCTCCCATGAAGTGTTTTAATGTGTTTTTCAGTGAAGACATAACCCTAATCACGAGGTGCTTTGGTTTGACTCTTTTAATTTTGAAGTCATTCTTAGTTCTATTTAGGAGAGAAAGTAATGGATGTAAGACTAGGCAGAGCCATAATGGGTTTAAACTGTCTCTCTGAAAAATGCCACATTTTATATTAATTGGACTTGCCATTATTATGTCGGTGCTGTGTTTTAAATAGAGAACAGGCTTCCATGTAGGTATAAAATATTCTAGCATTCTCACTATACTGGGGGCCCATCTTGTATCTTGGCCATATGTGAATAGGCTTGTCACTGAGTCAAAGGCTCTATGATAATTAGCAAAGATAGTATAAGTGCTATAGGGCATTCAGGGAGGTTGTTCAATAATCACTGATTTTCTTTTTTGGAGAATGTGTCATCCTATCTCACCCAGTGACTATGAGCTCCCCTTCCCCTGTGCTTGGGGGGGCTTGTGGCATTGGTGCTGGGCTTGGTGCCTATCTTTAGCATGCTGCAGCTCAGACCCCTGATTTCTAGAGATGTGTCAGCTGCAACCTCCCCAGGAGCAGGGATTAGAAGGAGTGTGCCACCATCCTCTATAATTCAGAATTGTTGAATTAAGAATGAGCTGTTCTGTACAGCCCTTGGATCTTTGGGCACAGCCTTTTTGGCCCTCAGTAAATATATTGTTTTCTTGTATGTGTTTTTTTTTTTTTCAGTGCTATATGCTGTGAATGCTGTGTATAAAGCATATGTATAAGGCATACTGGACTTGGGGGTCACAGTGCCTGGGCTCAAACCCCAACTCTTCTACATACTTCCCCTGTGAGATTTGACAAGCCATTTGATCTCTACGGGCCTCAGTTTCTCCATCTGTAAAATTCAAGGGTTGTACTAGATGACCTTTTTTAACTCAAAATCTATAATCCAATAATAAACACATAATACTTAGAACTGGAAGAGATGTTAGAGGAAGCTGAGAAGGGAGGAAGGAAGGAAGAAAAGAAGGAAGGAAGGAGAGAGAGGAAATAAGAAAGGAAGGAAGGAAGGAAAGAAGAAAGGGAAAGAAAGAACAAGAAAATAAGCAAGTAACCATTTATTAAATG